TTCTTCAGTAGATTGCAACAAGCATATGGCATCAGCATTTGTGGTTGTTTGCTGTGTTTTCATCACAGTAACCTCAGCATGGAGTAAAGACGGAAGATGCTGTCGAGAGGAGACATCAATGAGGGGAGACAAAAGGTCACACCCAACGTCAGTGAAGAAGGAAGTAAAATGTGTAAGAAGCACATCAGAGGAAATGTCTAGAGATGGAAAAAAATGCATAGACCAGGCAAAATATTATCCATACAAATTATTTCGGTTTTTTTTGTTTTTTTTTTTTATATTTCATGGCTCTGCATCAAGAACAAAGCAACAGCTACATTTTAAACACTGCAAATTATTTGATTCCTTTCGAACCTTATGTGCATTTTTGTTGATATTCTCATTCACTGTAACAATAACTTATTTTTATAGTGAATTCATTCAAAGCTTTATTGAAACCATTAACATTCAATTAGCATTGTATGCCAGTCCTTTTAAAATGTGTGTTACCTTTGGTTGCATCTATCTCAAACAGAAAATGACACAAAGCCTTAAATCATAAGTTTACGTTATGCTTTGCCAATGTTGATGTAGTCAGGTGAAAAAAAGATGTTTTAGAGGCTTTACACATTTAGAGGATTTGAAAACAAAATCTGACTTTTACTTTAGAAATCAACATTCAAAACAACTGACAATCTTTCCAGACACTGATAGACAGATCTATGATGGCAATAATTTCTTGTACTCAAACCATTTTGTTAATGATAATGCAGTGTATTTGTTGAACTGCTCTGGTACATGCTGCATTAGATCCCTCCCACAGCATGGTTCAACCACCCCCTCTACCTTAACAGTTGGTGTGTTTTTCTATAGATTATAAGCTTTCTTTCTCCTTATCTAGAAACGTATGGTAGTTACAGCCGTGTCGCAAGCATGTATTCAGTATTAAGGGCTTTGTCCCTGAGTGATGTTACAGGTGCTTTTCTGCCTTTTTATAGTGTCTTGATCAGGAGTCTGCAACCTGTTGACTCTCTACAATGGCTCTAGTAGCTTAAAACTTAAAATGATATACAGAACTAAAAAATGTGCTATAATAACAAATACCAGTCTGAAAAGCTTTAGTGACTTTTATAAAGAATTTTTTAATAGAATTTTTACAACAGTGACATTAAAAGAACCAGAAAAAACTGTTGGCTGTCTAAGGTGGCAGAAGATTTCATATTGCAGATATTTTATAAACATAATATGTTGTCTGGTTCTCTCTGGGTACCCTGGCTTCCTCCCACAGTCTAAAAACATGACTTTTAGGTAAATTGGCTTCTCTAAATTCTCCTTAGGTGTGAGTGAATGGTTGTTTGTCCTGTTTGTCTCTGTGTTGCCCTGCGATGGACTGGCGACCTGTCCAGGGTGTACCCCGCCACTAGCCCATAGACAGCTGAAGATAGGCACCAGCACCCCTCATGACCCCAACTGGGATTTAGCGTGACAGAAAATTGATGGATGGATAGATGGAATTTTTTTTTTAAATGTCATGCAATATTTTGCTGCTCCAAACAGCTTTTTCCTAGCTGGACAAAATAGCTCTTTGGATATGAAGGGTTGCAGACCTCTCATTTAAAGGCAAGGTACAGCAAATCTATATTGCACATTTCAGTTGGAAGGCAATTAAAATAGCTGCACATGAGAATAAAAGAAAGATTAAAGGTATACTATGCAACCGGTGTTGATTTTCCAGCGAGGCTCCCCCCAGAGGGCGAAAGTAAAAGTGCACTGTCGTAAATATGCTCAGCTGTTCTCCTGGTTTTCCGTCAAGTCAGGCGCGGTTGTTTTGAGCTTAGCAGACAGGCGAACACAACGAATCACCATGTCTACTGCGGTAAGTGACTATTTTGTTCCAGTTTTCGAGTTTGAAAATTTAGCATGTTTTCAGACATTATTTGTTATACATGTGTCTAAATAACAAAGATTGTAGTTAGCCAAGTTCTCGCCGTAAAGCAAGACCGACTCTCGCGAGACTTCTGAGGCTGTGGGTGCGGGCAGAGGGCTCTTGCAATTGCAAGTGCGGTATTTCCCCCACAGACCACCAGGGCGGCCGAGAATACCTTTGTTCAACCTGAAATGACTCATTTAATCATCCAAAATGTTATGGAACACATTAATTAACTGAAAAATGTTGCATAGTATGCCTTTAATTATAGAGGCAACATAAATAGTTAAAGAGAATAAAAGGGATAGATTATAATAAGAAGATTACTAAATAAAAGATAAAATGACCAAGAACATGGAACAAAAGCTGGAAAGGAAACTTTACTTAAAATGTTTAGATAGCACAGACAAAGGCCACTCTAAACAAATGCAATTTTACCCTTGATTTAAAGCAACTGGGTGTTTTAATAGAATTTAAAGTTGCTTTTGCATATTTTGGTCTGGTTCAAGGTATGCACAGTAAATTAAGACCTGGGCTAGGTCTGAATGGCTAATGCACTGACAGCAAGTTTGTGATATGTATTACAGCTAAACCAAATTAGTGATTTATAGACTAACAAAAGTATTTTAAAGTCTGTTCTCTAAAAGCTGCAGAGCAATGTGTTAAGATTTTAGAACTGAGGTTATGTGCTCTACTATATTTGTTTTTTGGTGAGGACATCTGCAGCAACATTCCCGGATCAGCTGCAGCTGTCTGATCAACTTTTCAGGCAGCGCTTTGCAGTAATAATTTCTATGCAAGATGATTGATTGATTGACTTTACTAATCTCACAGGGGAGAAATTTAATTTACATCAACTCAAATAGTCAAAGAAGAAGAAGGTGCCAAAGGAAGAAAAAGGTACATGGGTTATATACAGTATGTACAGTGCATCCACATACAACAGCTTTTTTATTTTATTTTATTATTATTATTATTATTTTATAGTAGGATCATCATACAGGGTTATTGCACAGGGTGTTTAAATGGGTATTTATATAGATGGATATTTATATTTATAGTTACTGCACTGGATGTAAAATATAGAGAAACAGGTGAGCACATGGATGTGTCTAGTTTAGACATCAGCCCTTTTATCCAAGAGATGTTTTTAGGAGTTGAAATGCAGACTTTGTTGCTCTAGTCATGTTGCTTTTAAGGTTCAGGTCTTAGTCCATCAATTTACCAAAATTTTAGACCTAATTGGTGGCTTCTAGTTGTGTAACTGTTGTATTTTGGCAGCATTTCAGGAAGAACTTCTTCCACTTGGAGGGGCCCTTCAGTCTTTGTTGGTACAGGCCTTGTTTGAGTGTGAATAATATCTCTACCAGTGACAGCCTAGCTCCCTTTGTGGTTTAATAAACACATTCTCCACCAAGGTTGGAACACAGAACCATCTCCTTCTTGAATGCTATGTCAGCATTGTACTTATTTCTTAGACATATGTATTTGAACATGAGAGCATCGCCTTTTTAAACATCTGGAATTTGTAAACACGTGCGAATCGGACCTCTGAAGATTTCTTTTGATTCTTCCATGAAGTGGGGGGAAGTGAGGTGTCCCAGGCCTTGGGTCTCTGTGCATGAAGTCAGCATGTTCTCCCCCTGCATGTGGGTTCCCTCTAAGTTCCTATATAGTTTCCTCTCCTCTCTCTACCAAGCTCAGCATCTGAAAGACTACTGCAAACTCATTCTCTAAATCACATGCTATTTCAGAATAATCTGTTTTATTAGCAAACAGAAACATTTCACATTGCTACTTTTCATGAGCAAACATGGTTGTTTGTAAAGCAGATGAATAAATTGTAAGCATTTTTATCATTCAGTCACTTTATTTTGGTAAATTAGCCACATTAAACATAGGAGACAAAAAAGAAAAGGAAAAAAAAACAGCAATAAAAAAAAAACACAATTTACCAAAAAAGGAATAGGTTGAAGTAAAGCTTATTCTTGCTGCTGCTGTTTCTATACCTTACAACCTACCAGAATACAGAATACATATATATAAATCTACATCACAGCATAATGTTTCATCCTTTTACATTTTAAAGCTCTTTTAAAGTTCACCAAGAAAAGACATAACTTAAAATCATCATTTAATTCATTCCAGTTTCATACCAATAACTGAAATACATGTAGATATTATTTGACTATTCTCTTTTGCACATTCAAATATAAACAAACCCCGCAAATAATATGTATCCGCTCATAGCTTAAATAATTTCTGAATACCTGAAGGAAGACTTTTGGTCAATGTTTATACGTTTTTTCCAGTATTTTTATATTAACAATATCTTTCAATTTTAATGTATTACTTTGAATAAAAACTTTATTAGTTGGTTCACAGTATTCCACCTTATTAATAAGCCTTATAGCTTTTTTTTATGCAACTTAACTAATATATAAATAGTTGTTTTACTTGCATTTCCACAGATTTCTGAGCAATAAGATAAATAAGGCATAACCAAAGAGGATCATATAATATGCAAGCCTTTAACATTTATTAAATCTTTTATTTAAACAATATTCCAATAGTTTTTTCAACTTTATATCTAATATATTCTATTTGAGGCTTCCAACTACCATAAGTTTGTTGTCTATAATAATCTCTGGTGCTGATACACTGGTGATGAAAAAGGCAGATGGCTCCCTCTGCTGGAGGAATAAAACCACTTTATTAATTTTTTCATAGAAAAAAAATTATTTTATCAAAAAGTTAATGATACAGAAATGATACCAAACGTGTAGGAAATAGAAATATAATATTTAGTTCTGCTGTTTAATAACACCAATACTTTTTATGCAGGTAAACAACAAAGGTAATAATTTATTTTTACATACAACCCCTCTGATCTTCCTTCCTGACAAATAATTCAGATCATCTGTTTGTAAAATGGTTTCCTCATCTATTGTTTTTCTGTCATGTAAATTAATAAAGAAAATGGATTTGAAACAAAGTGTCAATATGCAATCACATATTCTAATTCTTTCTATAATGAATGGGTGAAAGTGAAATTCTAAAAGAACATATCTTGAACTCAGATATGGCTATTTTGACACTGTTTGAGCTGCATAATTCTTTAGCTCAGGATTGTGGTGTTTACAGTTTACCGATGTGGTTATGAGTCTTGAATAGTTAAATTGACAAATATTTTTTACAAAAGTACAAAGTTCTCATATGAAAAAAATAAAAGTGATGTAGAAAGGCATTAAAATACTTGCAGCTTTTAACATTCACAGTACACCAATGCAGGCAGGTGTGTCAAGGTTTAACATCTTCTACACAGGGAGGACCTCCTGGACTTTGTGCCTCGGTTCCCTTAAGGAGCGACAGGTTGCTCAAAGTGCCACTGTTGTCTGGGATGATATGAATACTGCCGAAGAAACACACCTCCTAAACTGGGCGTGGTACCAGTTCCTCCATCTTCCAAAGCCTCTACACACAACTGAGACTTTTGGTGAATAAGCTGGAAGGTAACCTTTAAGCAAAAAAGGAAATGTCAAAGGTAAAGTACATGAAAATTCTTGTAAGAGATTCATATCAAACATGCCTTATTAAACTTCCACTGCAGTGTGCTCTTTGTAGATCGTTGAGCAGGGCATTGAGAGAGGACCACCCTGTCTCCTTTGACATCCAAACACAAGGATCCCATGGCCCCCCATCGCAATTCACCATTTGAGTTTAGCTCGCAGTGCTGCAACATCAAAAGAGACCCCCTAAATAATCTGGTTCTTGCATTGCTGAGAGATGTGGTGCCTTTTTGACCTGGCTGACTGTTCCACTGCATGGTGCTATCTTCATGGCTCCACCCTGCTGCTCTTCCCCAGTGGTATAATCCAAACAGCTGCCTGTACCCACATTGTATAACTTCACCCAGACATATGTTGCTCACATTAGTGTAAGTAAGTAAGTAAGCAAGCATGCATTAATGTTTGTGATGCACTTTACCTCGCCTGACAGTCCAGGCCTGTCCTGAGGGATGTAGAGCTGAGGAAAGGCTGTAGATAGGAACCAACGAAAGCTCCTACAACCTAAACTCCTCTTCAACTGCAGACTCTCAGTGATGTTTGGCCTCTCAGACTGCAAAAACTAATTTTTATTTTATTTTAAACTTAGTGTTAATACACCAATATACTCTTCAAAACCTTCTAACTCTTGCACACAAACCTGCCTGATGAAATGAGCAAGCGTGTCCCTACGGTAGAAGATCTTCCTAAAAAAAGTGTCCATCCAGGTATCAGCAACTTGGATTTTGCTTCTCTGAATAACGTCAGGGTCAGGAACATTGCTTTGCAGATCTTTGCGAATTAAGTGGGCCACACGAGAGCAAGGAACCACCTCCATGGAGCCGCCACAGGACCACACCTGCACAGAGATTTAAGGTTCTGGTTTGTACAGCTTTACGCTGATAAAAAGGAAGTTCAACTATTAATGACATTCAAAAATAAAACAAAAAAACTCAAGGATTAAGAAGCAGAGGGACCAAATGATCAATATATCAAAACAGAGACTAAGAAGGCTGAGATCACTTAGATGATACCTGATTTGGGAAATATCTTTACAAAAAAAAAAAACATTTCAACAGCATAGCATGGATCGTATTTAAGACTGTGGATTTATGAGTTAATTTTGATGTTAAAAAGCAGAAGACCCAGGAAGAAAAACAGAAACGGGGAGATTCAGCAAGCAGTCAGCAACCTACAACTTACGATAACAGATCTTATTTCTTTGAAACTATTTCAAAACATTTTTCAGAAATAGGGAATGTGAATCCATTAATCAGTGAGAATTCTCCAAATTTATTTATTTTTATTTTTTTACTGATCTTGTTTATCTTATTTCTATGTTTTGTTGTTATCTATTTTGCAATGTGTGAGACTTGTGTAAGTCGATTGATGTGTGCTGCAGATTTTCTGCCAAAGTCCACCTTGCAAAGTAGGTTTTCTCACTGGGGATTTTGTGTGGTTAAATAAAGAAAATGAACGAATAAACAAATGAGTAAATAAAAGGAATGAATGAATGACTTAATTAATTAATAATATTGTAGCAGCATGAACTTTAGCAGTAAAGAGGTATGGGAGACACAATTATAATGCTCAGACCATGTTAAAGTTATTCTGTTTATAAGCAAATAGAGGGCATTACTTTCTTTAATCTTAATTAATCCTAATCTTAATACATTTGATTAGTATCAGGAGCATAACCTGATAACAGACCTTCTAACTACAAAAATCATTTAAATATAACTGATTGTCCCACCGTTCAGGACATTAAAGTCATTTTAATCTGTTGGTTTTTCATAAAACTGTAAGTAACTTTTGAAGAATCTTCTCAGATCTTTGTTGGTATTAGCAATATTTCCACAGCATACTCCTATGGAAGAAGACACCTAAACATGTTTAAACACTCTTCATAAACAAATAATAATAAAGTTCATGTTTTGTTTCATCTGTTTGTTTGCTTTTCAGTTTTTACCCTGATTGAGAACTCCGTTTGTCCGGGGCCCCACTGCAGTATCTTTGGATCATAGGCTCCCAGAGTTTGGAAAAACTCTCTGTTAATGGCCAACACCTCTCCACCTAAAGCTGGGCTCCTGTTTTAAAAACATGTATAGAAAATACAGGGATGTGTTATGTGCTCTGAGGAGAAAAACATGAATATACATTTTTAGCAAAAGTAAATTTGCCAAAGAAGAACGAAATTCTACATTCTGCTACAGAGGAACTGGTAAGAGTTGCAGTGTGGATAGATAAAGCTAAATATGGGACAGAAGACTTTAGACTGAGAAATATCTGCCTCAGAGCCAGAGAAACAGTAGACTGTTGTAAGATAAAGGATGTGTACTGGAATGGCCCAGTTAAAGTCCAGAACTACTGTTGTGGCCCAGCTTTGATGACTCAAAAAAAAGTGGCAATCCACAAAGGCCACAAATGCACCATGGACTAATTTTACGCAGGCAAAAAAAAATAAAAAATTTTCCAGGTGAACTCCTTTAGTTTTCTCAGTTTATTTTCTCCTCAGGCAAGCGAACAGAAAAAGACAAACATTCCCCCCATGTTTTTCTTGCGCTGTTAAAAAACCATACGCCCATCCAGATGCTTGCCGGTCCTACCGCTGACTGCCTGTTTATAAAAAATAATTTACCCAAATTAATCAAGACTAACCAAAAATAAAGGAACATGTCTAAATAACCAAAAAACATAATCTCATAACAGATATCAAACAATAAAGTAAATAAACTTAGCTAGATTATGCACAAGAAAGAAAAAACTTTGTTAATTATTAACAAAAAATTATTGGCTTCTACATGTATCTCTTTCCATCCTGACTGAACATGAACAAAAATCTCTTTTTTATATGTGTGCAGATGATAGATGATATATATGGAGGACCAATCCTGCCATAATTAAAAATAAATACAGAAATAAATAAATGCTTAAAAAACAAATAACCATACAATTAATTGCCCCCCGAATGACAATAAACAAATAAATAAATGTAGGTAGAAATTTATTTATACAATGAGACCTAAATATATATATAATAAATAAATACTTAAAGAAATAAGTAATAAATAAAGTAGAAGAATATATAGGACAATTAATAAATAAGGTAAATATTACAAAGGCAAATAAATAAAGAAGCTATTATAGGTATTTTGGGGGGGGAATTAATTGTTTTCTTATTTATTTTTGGAGCATTTATTTATTTATGTATTTATTTTAATTATGGCAGAATTGGTCCTCCATAGATGTATCCCAAAAGAAATTTTAATTGGTACAAATAAAAATTGCAGAAGCAAAGTTGCTTCAGATTTTACACAAATTTTGCCACAAATTTTACAACCACAAAATAGATATATCAAAATCCTTTCCAAGTATTTTTTCGTTTTTCTTTCAGTTCTGCTCTACTTGGTAGTTTTTCTGTCAAAAAAAAAAAATAATCTTTCCTAAAATACACTGAAATCATAAACATGTAAGAACAGGGCAGCTGTGAACTTACGGAACAGGTTCAACAGCCAGCTCTAGGTCTGCACCATGAAGTTGAGGGTTTGATTCCCAGTGAAAGTCTAGTCTCCAGTCGAACACTCCTCTTACTGGCCACTGGGAGGCATTATACTGATAGGTCTGCCAGTCTATTACATCCATGATGGGGGAGACGACTCTGGTCCTGCTTGAGACACTGGTAATGAACTTTGACATTCAAATTTACATAGACCTCTACCCCATGTTGATATTAAAATCTGCTAATTCGACACCAGGGCAACATTTTCAGTAATATGTGTGCATGTAAATGAAAGCATTTCAGGCACTGCAGCAAAAGTCTTTTATATGTTTAAAGTCTTTTATATGTTTAAAGTATACAAGGGATCAATCCGCACATTATTAAACAAATAAACTAAAAAGATGGTAAAGAAATAGTCAAACGCATCTTTAAAATATAAAAGCTGCTGCAGATTCAGAGCCTAAGAGTTCAGCCTAATTATCCACTCTTATTAAAGGCACGCTGCAGACAGTCTGAGAGGAGCCCCCGGCCAAATCATGAGAGCTAAATCTCAATTACAAAACACACACAATCTAACCCACGAGAAAGGACAACCGAAAACTGAAATTTCTTTTTGTCAAATAGCAAAGAGAATAGAGTTTGAGCTGTGGGTTGGATTTACTCTTTTTATTGCTTAGATTAGCCATGTCAAAACACTGTTGGGCTTGATGAAATACATCAAACCAGCAGAAAACTAAAGAGAATCTCCATATTAGAATATTGGATGCTTAAGATCATAATTTTAGCAGTATTGAGAATAGTACCTGTCCTGTGCAACTCTTTCCAGGAGTGGTTCCAGCCAACCTTTTTGGCATTCACAGTGTGAGTCCATAAATACCAGGACCTCCCCTACTGCATGGGTTGCACCCTCAGTGCGGCACCTGCAGACCCCCAGATGTCTGGTACTGCGAATCAAACGCACCCCATCCAGATGAGACACATACTCACTCAGAACAGTCTTCGGGTGACCTGTAAGATGGAAATATAGGATGGATGGATGGATGGATGGATGGATGGATGGATGGATGGATGGATGGATGGATGGATGGATGGATGGATGGATGGATGGATAGATGGATGGATGGATGGATGGATGGATGGATGGATGGATGGATCCTACCCTGTAGGATCTGATCATCCACCACCAGGACCTCCTGCAGATATGCCCGAGGTGTGGTTTCGAGAACACTGTGCACGGTGCGCAGGAGTGCAGCCCAGGAGTCGTCATGGATGCAGATAACTACACTGGCTTTTGGCAGAGACTCACTGTACTGCTCTCCCAAACACCTGTGGTAGGAAATCCATGCTATAAATTAGATTTAAAAAAATACGACTTTTTAAACATATAATTGGATATGTTTGCTTTACTTTTAGCTTTCTTTTCAGGTTCTTTTCTCTTTTGGTGTATGAGTAAGGGGTTGTCATGGAGACTGAACTTTTGTCTTTTCCTTTTTTCCAGAATGATTCAGCAATTGTCAGGATGGATAGAGAGTGTTTTTACATATATATTTTTTTAAAGTTTTTAGCCAATAATGACTCTCAAATGAATTTGCTTTGATCTAAAGTTTTCCTCTGTAGCTCGGGTTGTGTGTTAAAGGTGAATGGCTTATTGGAAGGTGGGACTGATCCTAATTCTTTACAGCCCTAAGGATGTTGTCTTCCCTGCTTACTCTATAATTACCTCCATGTATGTTGCTCCCCTGACAACCTTTCATGACCCTGCAGAAAAAAAAGTATCCCACAGCCTCATACTGCCCACTAATGTTCTGTTGTGTAGGTTTTTTTTCTATGGGAATCATGCAGGGCAATCTGCAATGGCTGAATTTGATCATACAAAGTGTTTGGTATATAGGATAAACTATGAAGTTAAAGTTTTTTGTTGTTATTGTTTCTTATTTAACTAGTGCTATATAAACTTTGGTAAAATGCAAAATAAAACAACAACAAAAAAGTACTTTTTTTGCACAACAGCTGTCTGCTTCTCTATAATTTTATGCAGAGGGTTGGAATGGGGGCAAAATACAAATATACTCCAGTCTTTTTTCGGATCTCTTTTTCTTTTTTTTAATGAAATGAAAAATGATTAATCCAATTTCTGCTACTTCAAATTCCTTACATGCAGAAAGGTTTCTCAGAGTATCACACCCACTCAGGATGACGCATCTCCGGCAGACTGCGATGGAGGAAAATCCTGTCTGGGAGCCCCTCGCTGACCCCTTGTTGGTGCATGGAAGCTTTCTGTCCATCTCCTTGTAAACCCTCCAGATAGCGCCGGACACCATCTCCCTTTCCCCTGTGTCTCTGTGGTCTGAGTCCAGCGGTGTTCTCTGTCGCTCCATGCAGAACCGCCACCTTATTCTGCCTCCTCTTAGATGAGTTTATTGTGGATGGCACCAGCAGCAGCTGCTCCTCTTGAAAGGATTTGAATGGAGCCAATGTAAGCCCAAGCTCTGAGGCGGCGGCGTGGGATTCCACCAGGATCTCCAAATCTCCTGGACTAAGTATTCTGGTAAGATGAGGAAGGGAACCTGGTTTTTTAAGGATCAGATCTTGGTGAAATAGATCAGAGAGCCCAACCATAACTAAGCCGAGGCTGATGAGCAGGAGCCAGATGTAGAGCATCCTCCTCTTTCCCACGCTCATCCTCATCCTCATCCTGGAGGCAATTTCTTCAGTAGCATTCAATTTTTTGTTTCTCAAAGAAGTAAAAAGGGTTTAATATTCTTAAATTTAAAAATAGAAATGTTACTTAGCCCAAACTATAATCTATTTTTCTCGTGTCCAGTGGTGAGGCTCTGAATGGGACTGAAGATGTTTCTGAGGTGTGTAGCCTACTTATGCCTCCCACCCCATCCTATCTCCACCACCCACTTGTTTCTCTGACTCTTCAATTTAGGGTGAGATAAGATTAAAGGGCTGAGTGTTTTTCTCTTTCATTATTCTATTCTAAATTTCATTTTAACAAAGAAAAACAGACTATGATGGATTATGTTTAACAAAAGAAACTACAGACTGCTGGATTTCGGTATATGGATGTTAAACTTTTAATCTTTAAAGATCAGGGGGGTTTCTTTTAAATATCATCAGCTCACTAAATGTGAATAAACTAAATAGCATGATAGCTCATGAAATGTAATCTTTTAGTTTGTATTCGTTTATATATATATATATATATATATATATATATATATATATATATATATATATATATATATATATATATATATATATATATATATATATATATATATATATATATATATATATATATATATATATAAAGGTTGATTTGATATTAAAACACTGCACAGATTAAGTCTCTTATCTCCATTCAAGCCTATTTATCTTTAATATCTTGTTCTACGTATTCCTATGTTTTCTGTTTATAATACTTCCCCTGCTTTTTTTGTTGTATCTGAACACATTAAAAGAATACTTTAGTGAAAATTCACAAAAAATGACTAAATCTGTATGGATATATAGGAGTGTAAATAATTACACTGGTAGCAAGCTTAAAATGCTTCCAACGATTAATTGAATTTGATGTGATATATATGGCAAATTACTCATTTGTCCACACAAAATGAGGGCAGATTTGTTAGAGTTAGGAAATGACTCTTGCTTCTAGTTGTGATGACACATCATCAGTGTTAAGACAACCAGTTGTCTTGCAATGCAAAAGTTGTGGGTTTGACTACAGTTCCTCTTGTCACATGTCACATGATGTAACCCTGGGTTGCTTTTAATGCCAAGATGCCTCCTGATCTCTATATCAGTGTGAATGTGATGGGTGAATACGACTCTATATGGAAGCACTTTGAGCAGCCAGTATAGAAAAGCCCAAAATAAAGTTAGTCCATCTGTAAATTTCAGATGTAAGACAAGGTTTAATGTGCATTGGGTGATAGATTTCATTTTAGGTTCTTTAAATGATGCCCAAACATAACTAAAAGAGGTTTTCCCCCTACTTGGTCAAAACACTTGTAATGTAAAGATAAAGGAAAAAATTCTTACTTTTTTATTATCATTGTAAAATAATCTAAAAGCAGAATTTGGCTCCAGTTTTAGCCTTCACTATTTCTCAAATAAAAAGCAATAAATATATTCCAAAGAAAAGATAATTTCTCTGACGTCTGTATTTAATCTTCGAATTGTGTACTCAGAGTTATACTCCAGTGCAGGCTCAGGTGATGAGGCACAGATGGACTAGTTTTATTATGTTATTGATAAATTGGCTGATAAGTTGCCCTGCAATTTGGCCTACTTCAAAAAAGCACTAATTCATAACAATATTTCACTGTCTTTTACTTTATATAATATGGAATATACTTCTGTTTAATTAAAATCAGTGTATTTTTCTGTTCTGTTAAATTCTACATAAATATTGCAATTTGTTTTCTGAATGTCCTTAAAATTTAAAAAATATTTTTTAATTTTTCATTGCAAATAAACATTTTTAATAAATAATTTTTGAAGTCAGGTCTTTTTGGAAACCCTGCTGACCTGGAAGCCCTAGTTTGCTCATGCTTTGGATGGCTCTGGTTCAATCTGAAAACCTTAAATCGTTAAAAACACTTGTGTGACCGGTCACCAAAATAAATCCTGTCCAATGGTGCTGTGAGTAGGAAAGGAGATAGGAAGAGGAACCAGTATGGTTTCACCAATTCTGTTAGCATAGGGACCCCCTGACATTCATAGAAGTAGCTAGGATCTGTACAGTTGCCCACAACCTTCATGGCAAGGCACAGTTCATTTTTTTTAAACAAAAATACATTATTTCCTTATGTATATTCTGTGGGACACATGCATTTCTAGACATCTTTATGTGTTTATATTTTATGCTGGAGAACTTCAGCCATTCACTATATTTGTGGTACTTTTGTTTTTTGCAGTTCCTTTCCGGGAGGTTGTAGTCCTAATTGGACAAGCATCAATCATGTGCTCCTAGTGATACCAATAAGGCTGAATGGAGTCCAGAGTTCCATTTCTACCCTGGATAGCGTTTATACTGATGACCCCACGAAAGGCGAAGGAGTATAAGCCAGGAACAGGAAGTAGGAGCTACAATATGAGGTATTCTGACTATGCCCCTGTTTTTGTGCTGGGGAGAACGGAAGCTGTGAGAGGTCATTTTGGTTTCTGCAACAAAAGAATCCTTGTGACTCTTTAGCTGTCCGTGATTTTCTGTCAACCGGATGTGTAGATGAGTGGGTGAGGTTAGCTCCCCTCCGATCATTCCTCTGCTTTGCAGGATGACAGGGCAGACATGCCTTTCAGGGTCATGATTACAGAAACAGAGGACATCAGAAGACACTTAGATTGATGCTAAGAAGTAAAAAAAGACACTCTTAGAGAGCAAAATGAAGGTTTCACACTTGAAAGGATATTGATGGTTCTTGTGGGCGAGTGTTAAAGGTCCCAGGCTTGAATAGTAAAGATTTTCCCTTGACTGCCCAAACTTGCATCTGCTTTGAAAACTCCCATGTTTCCCTCTGCAGCCAAAACACACGGAAAAGAGTGAAGTTTCACTGCGGAAACATAATCTGGGACTGACATATCAACAACGCAAGGTTATGCACATATGTACAAATTCAGGCCACATTCTCTGGCTTGTTAGTTTGTTATATATATATATATATATATATATATATATATATATATATATATATATATATATATATATATATATATATATATATATATATATATATATATATATATATATATATATATACATATATATATATATGTTTGTATATCTGGAGTGTGTAACAAAAGTAAAGCATGTCTAGTTCTGATTGTTGTTGAATGTTCCCCAAGTACAGAAGCCAGTGCTGTATATGAGAACAAACACACAGAAGGAAAAGAGGCTGTGGTTGAACCAGAGAAAATCTCAGTTAATTCCTTCTGTTGGGTTTTCGCTTCTCTAGCCTGATAAAAAAGAAAATGTATTTATCCGAAAGGTCTCACCTCACCATAAACCATGTGTGTGTGTGTGTATTGGGTTACAACAGGCTTGTTTCTCACTCTGTAAATTAGCTGGAGCTGGATGGGGTAGGAAACAATTCAAGTTAGAGGAAAATAAATGTATTGAATTAATATAAAAGAGTAAATGTTACTTATTGTAGAGATGGAGAGAAAAATAAAAGAGTAAACTGAGTTGTGTTTTATTAAATGAAGAATATTTTGGAGAACGCTGCATCCTCTTCATCAGACTGCCTTACAACAAGAGAGTGTCTTCAGTCAGAGGTTTCTCCTAATCTGCTGTAACAGCTGTTTAGTTAAATATTGTCTTTTTTCAGTTCTAGATTTTCTAGCATAACAGATGATTAGTTATGGGGTTTTTTTATGTTGTTAGTGACTAATTTTGACACATTTACAAAAACATTTACAAACAAATAAACCAAATTAATCCAACATGATAAAGTACTTTTATTATTTTTTTTAGAATTTGGTTTGTCATAGGCTAATGTTATTTTTAAATCAGGCTCTAATCTAATTTTATTGGAAAGGGGCACACAAACCCTGAAGTTGCGCAGGGGTTTCGCCCTCTACTGGTCAAAGTCAGCATTGCTGCATATTTCCAGTTAAATGTAATTAAGGGGAAGCGATTTTGTTTTTTATTACTCTTTATGGCAAAGTCATAGTTTAAAATTGATCCTTTCAACCTTATCCAAAAGTCTCTAAATAAATCTGGCTTGAAGAGATATGATGGTGAATGTAGGAAGAAAGCAATTTTCTATTTATGTTTGTAATAGTTTTGTAATGTAGTTGCATTTCATTAAATTGTTTAATAATATTTAATCTTTGTGTAATTTATTTTACTCTAACATTTGTAAGATATATAAGCATGTCCGTTTTAAGGGAAAAAAGCCAGTTTCATACAACATTCTTATTATTTTGTTACATTTTTTAGCTTTTACATATATCAATTCATTAAAATTCATTAAATCTGTCAGAATAATTATTTTCATAATGTTATCATGTCGCTGATATTGTCTGTGCATCTATAATCGATCGCTATTGCCACAAAATAAGTATTTATTTCAGCAATATAATCTGTCATCTCTTTCCACAGATGGCTTTAAAATCATGTGTCTGTTTATTTCCTAACAGATAAAAGTTTTAAGCATGACTCTGCAAAAGGCTCTCCTGACTTTTGAACAGAAATGGAAGGTTGAGCTCTTGGCTTTGGAAGCCCTTTTGACACCGTTTCCAAACCTCCTTGTGACAGCAGACGACTGCACTGAAATTATTATCACATGATAAAGATGGTGATGGAAAAGAAACACGCTCTGCATCCGAAATGGGTGGTAGGCCCATCATTCCTCTTCCTGCTGCTGCTTTTTTTTTTTTCTGTGCGTGAGAGAGCACCAAACTCCAAGTCACAAAAAAAGTCATATGAGGGGCACATATTTTCCCCCAGATGTCAACTCTAACGAAAACATTTTGGGATGCGATTGAATCAATTATATCTGACTTTATAATTTATACATATTTCACTACGATTAAATTCGTTTAATGCATCTATTATTGGTATAAGTGTTTGATATTTCAATAAAAAGTAAATATACAATTTCACAGAGGTATGAGCCGATGAGAAAAATGAAGGAAAAAGAAAAGAAATAGCCAAAATAGAGTCCAATGTTTTTTAATAAGCATTTTTTTTCATAATATATTTTAATTTATTAAAAGGGTTTCCAAAAGAGGAACACGAGCATGTGCATCTTCTTCCGCAGTGGCTCTAATGAGTGATGAGGTGCGCCCTATTAGAAAGCATCACATGTTTATGAGCTCAG